AACTTGTCTGGGAATAGTTTTAAAATTTAGCTGTTTTGGGTTGTGTTTTGCGGGTCTTGGGACTTAGTAAACAACTAGACTGTTTCAGAAAATACTGACAAAAAAATATTTCAATTTATTAACATTAAAAGTAAGTGAAAGCGTTGTGTTTTTTAAAACTGGAAGGAATTCTGCAGTTTTAAATCAGATATACTGTTTCACGCCGCTGTGAATCGAATGTAAATTACATTTATAATTTCACGGCCTCGGAACACAAAATTTAAAACCAAAAATCATACAACATTTAAAGGACAAACAAGTCCTCATCAGGCAACCAAAGTCAGGGGTTGGGTTATTCGGCATTTGCCATAAGGATAACCTGGATTTTTTTTCCTAGGGGAAATGCAAATTAGTGCCCCCAATTAGCTTGTGCTTGAACAGCTAAATACATTTGACACTTACATAAAGTTCTTATTATTATTATGCAGCGCTGTCTTTGAAACGTTTTTATTAGTGGCGACGAAGACAGCAATCATCGCATACTCGAAGGCATCTTTCAAAGCCTTTGATTCAACCAAATTTGTTCCAACTTCGAAAAATGTGGCATACTGAAATACACATTTGGAGGAAATTCATTACAAAGTTAGAAAAAAAGACCGCTTCACTTACCTACTTCACCATCCACTCGTGGGTTTGACAACGCACAAAGTCGAAAGACAACATCTCGTTATCATTGAGTTGTTATTTTCTTCTCGTTTCCGAATTCCATTGGTCCTGACTATTCCTCGCTCTGTTTTTGTCTTGAATAGGATTCGTCGTAGTTTTTTGTTTTCCGACTCCTCGCGATTATAAATCGATTTCTTACACATTTCTTTTGGTTAAAATTTTCTTTCCCTGTCATGTCAACCATCACAATATGTATACTTAAATGTGGCCTTACTGGTATGACGTCGTAATTGGTGGTATATGAAGTATTTTTCGAAATTGTTTGAACTCATCCATAGGTGTCTTCGTGCTAAAGCACTAGACACCAAAAACAGTTGAATAGTAGTAGCAGCATGCGCATTTTGATAACCAAATACCTGTCACATTTTTGTCATCAGTTGATGTTAAATCTCACGAATATTCATGTCAGTCAGCGCATGCTCAGTTGAGCCTACTTTACCATGTGCTCCGCTCGGTTCGAGATGTTGAATTACAACTTTGAGTTCTACAGTATCGTTTACATGTTTCCTCCCGGTTATTCGAACCCTTCGACACTACAAACTAGCGACGAGGATAAAGAAATTGATCCACAACGATGGCGCAGCAATTTAATAGGGCTGCAGTGCGGAATTCTAGAACCGTTCGATGGTGTTGATTTCACAGATTACAGCGAGCGCCTCAACTCCTACTTCGTTGCAAACAACCTCGGTCAATACGCAGACGATGCTACAGCAGCAGTTAAACGAGAAGCAGACAAGAAGAAAGTTGCCGTTACTATATCCTTGATTGGTAAGGCAGCATACAGTCCACTTAAGGATCTTTGTTTACCAGCTCAGAAAACGTACGACGAACTCACTGAGATTTTGAAGAGCTATTACAAACCCAAGGTACTCGAAGTTGCAGAATCCTATCGTTTTCATCGCACCTTCCAGTGTGAGAATGAAACGGTAACTGAGTACGCAAACAAACTTAAACGCTTCGCGGTGAACTGTAATTTTGGTACTTTCCTTACAAGAGCCTCGAGAGATCAATTCGTGGGAGGAGTGAAAAGCCAAACTACTAAGAAAAAGTTACTCTCAGAAGATAGGACCTTCGATCAAGCTCTTAAGATAGCTCAAGCAGATGAATTGGCAGAGAGAGGATCTAGAAAACTCAGCAGGTTAGTGCCGACACTTCCAGTGCTAAAGTTCATCCTGTGCATGCCGTCCACAAAAAACCTACTCCTTGCCAGGGAAACAGTAATAAAACGGCTGTTAAAACTAAGTTGATGGAAGACAATGTTTTAGTTGTGGTTCTTCACAACATATTGCAGACAATTGCCGTCATGTAAAGTCTATATGCAGCTCTTGTAAAAAGAATGGACACCTTGCTAATGTTTGTTTCAAAAAAAGAGAGAAAGTAGTTACAATACAGCTCACCAAGTTATAGCCACACCAGCTCAAGAAAAAATTCCTGGCGAGGATGAAAAGGACGCTGAAAATCGTTTTACAGTGTACATGAGAAGTGTGAAATCGTCGGGTAGTCCTGCAGCTACTCCACCCCATTACACCCTTGCAGTTACTATTGAAGACACGGAGGTTCCTATGGCAGTTGACACTGGTAGTTCAGTAACCTTGTTAGGGTCTGCAGTTTTTCCTAAACTGGGAAGAAAAATTGATACACTCAAACCCTCCACAGCTATTCTGGAAAGCTACACAGGAAATGTCATCGAATGTCTGGGGGAAAAGGACATGAAAGTTCAGATTGGAAATTAAGTTGACACCCTTTTAATTCGTGTTGTTCACGAGCCATCACTCCTTGGTCATGAAATGATGTCTAAGTCCACATTTCCTTGGCAGAATACTGATTGTCAGTACTATTTCAACTACAGCTGAGGACATTGTATGTCAATACCCTGATTTCTTTAACTACAACACCGTGGGAAAACTGAAAGGCATTCACGTGTCATTGCGGGTGAAAGACGTAAATCCTGTATTCACCAAATTTCGAGTTGTACCTTCGCGATTCGATTTAAGTATGACGAAACTCTTAAGAAATTAGTGGAAGAGGATATCATTGAAAAGGTAGAACATTCAGAATGCGTCTCACCAACTGTTCCTATTGTGAAACAAAGTGGTAATCTGAGAATTTGTGGGGATTACTCTGTTACCATTAGCAAATTTTCAATCTTTGAGCCATACCCAGCACGAACTCTTGAGGAACTGTTGAGCCAAGTCACAAGTGGGAAGAGATTTACTAAGATAGATCTTTCCCAGGCCTACCATCAATTGGAACTTACCCCTGAAAGTAGAAAATACACTACCATCAATACACATAAGGGTCTATACCGGTAGAACTGCCTTACCTAAGGAGATAGTAGTGCAGTATCTATTTTCCAACGCACCATGAAATATGTTTTAAAAGATCTTCCAGGTTGGTGTGTGCACCTTGATGACATACTGTTTTCTGGGGACTCTGATGAAATACACTTAGAGAACCTATTTGGGGTTTTACAGAGGTTACAGGAATGTGGACTGAAACTTAACCCTGACAAATTCCATTTTATGCTCGATAAAGTTGTTTACCTGGGCAAGACAATTTCTGCTGCTGGAATTTCACCTACCAAGGAGAAGGTTAATGCCATACAGCAGGCAGCACCTCCAGCAAGTGCAGCTGAACTACAATCTTTCCAGGGAAGTGCAAATTTCCTCTGTAAATTCGTGCCAGATTTTGCAAAAATTGCCTCACCCCAGTACAGACTACTCCGGAAAGGGACACCCTGGGAATGGGGAAAACCTGAACAGGACGCTTTTGATAACATTAAAGCAGCTTTATGTTCTGACTCGATT